ACCAGACGACCACGCCACGCCAACCACCATTACCTATACCAACTACTATACTGTATCTTGCTACATCATGACCATTGTCCTTTTTCTCAGCAAGTTCTTTTTAAATTCTCTTCGACAATTATATTAAAAGTCCAAATATACTTGCTTTTTTAGGCCCTAATTGCTCGACTCGATAGAAAAACTGGTAAAAAAGAAGGCGAGAGACCGCGATTCATAAAACAAGAACAAATAGCAATCGTAAGACTGGAGACACCAGGAGTTATCTGCATTGAAAAATTCAACGATTTCCCTCAGATGGGTCGATTCACGCTAAGAGACGAAGGTGAGTTCAAATCCTAATAAGAAAGCTTCTGAGACTGTTCAAGACTTGTTCAAGAATGTTCAAATGAACATACAGACCCCTTTATCTTGGACGTAATGTTTTCCCATTTCAGACCACGTGCCTTTCCCTAGAGTTTTTTAAAACCTTTCTGAAATAGTTTTAGCCGAGACTTCAAAAGATTTTGTAATCATATTAAGTTGTGTTCGTTAGGTATAAATCCATAATAACATGAGTTATCTTTTCTACGTACGCCAAAACGACAAATAAATCTTCAGAGCAGACACGTGAATATGGATACTACTCAAACGAAGAATATTATTCTTGAGAGAAAAACACGTGGTATGCAGTGGCAAAAATACTACACGCAAGGTTAAGAGGCCTATTAGCACAGTGTAAAGTGATGAAGAGGCCAGGTGGTACTGTACCCTTGATTCCTACATAATGCAAATGCGTGTATGATTGTTTCAACTTCCCCTCTATAATAACTAATCATGTATTTATATCATTTATAGGGAAAACGATTGCCATGGGAAAAGTCCTCAAATTGTTACCCGGTTAAGAGAATAGAAGGCCAAAACAGAAAAAAACACAAATGGAAAGAGATATAAAAACATATCTTCGGGGAATATTCTTGTGCAGTGCACGAACTTCCGTTAAAGGAAAACAGAACTGAGTACATCGGTTATAATAAATGCTCAAGATATTTCTGAACGGTTGCGTTTAAAGATTGTCCTGTAAATCGGTCAGAATTGTTTTTGTTCAAAGATGCAGAATAAGAGCTATATTGCGACAGGCTGATCCTATATCTACGATCTAAAGGTGTTTTTGTTCAAAGATGCACTCAACTATCAAAATACTGTGAAAGAGAAATCGCAGTTGAAAACTACAATATGAAACACTTTTTAGGTTATTGTTTACAAAGGTCTTTCTTTATTCGTCGCCAAAAGATGTACATTTATGCAAACTAAATATCATGGCGCTTTTCATATTCGTGCGTTTCAGCGGATAACTGCAGCTTGGCACGACTTTTAGTGGCTTGGCTTTCGTAGAAATACTACATAAACTAAAATGGTTTTGAAGCTATTTTTGATAGACGAAGCCAAATCCAAGCCTCATTGAAAAGAAATTATAAACCAAATGTACCACCAACGTGGATATTCAATCAGCATTTAATGACGGCAAACGTGAAAAACTTTGTAAGATCAGTTAAAACGAATCGCAAAAATGTCCAAGTAGTATGTAAACATGAATAATTGTCTTTGGTGAGATGGAAAAAGGTAAAGTAAAATGCGGGGAAACGATGAAAACGTGAAGAAAAAACGCGAATATTGGCCCAAATATTGTTTTTTATTGAGGGAGGATGGAGGGGTAGTGGGAGGGAAGGGCTGGGGTATGGAGGGGTGGGTCATCATTGAATTTGAGGGTCAAATCTGTTGGAGAAAGCTAGTTCTTCGTTGTTTTTATAGGAGGGTCATGAATTTCTTGTTGAGTGAAAGGGCGAAGTCTGCAACCATTTCTAAAGAGGTTACTACGAATAACCCAGCCCTCCCCCCATAAAAATACCGTAACTTGCTTCAGGTGTGCTGAGATTCACCTGATTAACTTTTCAACAAATATTTGACGTTTTTTTTTTGGTATCAAGTGCATTTGAATTTAGATAAAATTTTCGTTTTCCTGCCACATCTTATTTAGCGACAAAATATAGAATATGCCTTGAAAAATGTTAAGGTTTCAATTTATGTGCAATTGTTCATCTAGAGGTGATGAATGTATTTTGAAAGTTCGTGGTAATACCAACTGAAACCATTTGCCTTCAAAAAGCAAATAAATTGTTTTAAAGTATTCGATCTTGCCTTGTGATCTATTCAAAGAGGTTTCGCTCCCATTTTAAACAAAGTTTTTGGACGATCCAAATTTAGAAAATAAGGGGGAAAATATTCTCACATTGTTGGTTATCTTTTCCATACACAAATTCTACTATAACTGAAAAAATATCATTTCCAGTGAAATCACGAATAGCTTTGGTAAACAAGCATAAATTTGAAAATAGCGAAGATGCTACAGGTTTCATTTCCCGACGCCTCCATTTTCGCGTCCCCTAAATACATTGCGGTTTATAGTGTTAAGAAACTTTATTTTGGGCTTCCTTTGGAGAGGTTTGGCGCCGATATAATGATTAACCAATCAAATGCCTGGTGTGATTTTCGCGCGAAATATTTGGTTCGATCCTCCATCTTCGGCCTACAACGACTACGTCCGGGAAAATGCAACTGTGATAAAACCTAGAGCACATGCAAAGGCATAAACTTAAGTTATCTTGCTCGTCAAACAGTGATTTCGTAGCATTTTTAATCGACTGGGAAGATCCGTGGTGAAGTTCAATCCTGAGAGTTTACGAGGGCGGCAGAGAAGTATTTTTAAAAGGTAAGCTAAAATGACTATCGTTGTACAACACTAAAGTATTTTAATTTTTTCCTTCGTTAATCAGTTCAATACTTATATTAGAGACTATTTATAGCATATATATGGAATGGGATATGTGACGTTTTGAATTGTTGCAATTTATTTTGGGTGGAGGGGGGAGAGGGAGGGGGGAGTGAAGTGACTATATAATAAATCAAATAGATGATAACTTCATTTAGTTAGATTAGTTTCATTAACATTTAAATAATTACTTTATTCTACCAAGCTTTCAGCCTACGAGGTCATCTTCTGGGTAACATAGACAATGCCATCTAAACAATGAGCACATACATCAGTTATGATCTTACAAAGAGCGTGTACGATCAATAAATTGCCTAGCAAATTTACATAGTTTGATGGTAGAACGTGTTAAGCCTTCTCTCACTTCCTTAGGTGCCATCTGTGTTCCTTGCCCAATAAAGTTGTTTCTTGCCACTTGATATCATGTCCTGTGGTGTGGGCATGTTCGGCAATGCCACCTTTTACCATACTTGCCAATAATTGTACAGTGGCCTGGTATTCTTTCCTTCTCGTTCTTAGCATTTTATTTAATAGAGACAGTGGTAGAATTCTACTTTCCAACTATTTAAGTTTTCTAGGTGACCCATTGACCACACACACTTTTTGTAAGATGACACAACTTATGAGCTTTGAAATAAACTGAATAAGCTAATAAAAATAAAATAAAATAATAATTGATGGAATTATAATCTGGTAAAATGAAACTGAACTGAATCACTGTTTTGATGGCAAAGTTTTTTCTTGTAGTCGTAAGGAGCATTTTATGTTACCCTGAAGATGGCCTCCTAGGTTGAAAGCTCAGGCAGTAGAATATAGTAATTATTTAATGTCGATGAAACAAGTACAACCAAATATATAATAAATGGTTATGAAAATCACTGCCTTGTAATCATAAATAAGGTAGACAATTCTTTACAAAAGTTTTTAAAATCAGGTGAAACATGATTAATAAGCTAATTATAAAGTCCAGGAGATTTTATTGTTAAAGTAATATGTACAATATTTAGCATTTGACCTGTAATGGGGAATCACAAGGGTGAGGCATGTTCTTTGAATGTTTTGAGATTGGTGTTCACACACCTAAGTTCAATATGGCACCAGGGCCAAATGTAAAAGAAATAATATGGTGTCAATGCAAAGTATACACTTGTCCTGTCTTTCTTTCCTTCTTACATCCAGGAACTCAACCATATCAAATTATAAGAAAATACTGTAAATTTATGATTTTGACCTTGGATGCCTTTTTTCACCTGGCCGTGTACCATTTTGGACTTGGTATATGAGATTGAACAAGAAAATCTATGTTATACTTAAATGCAAATGGGATGATTGTGTATCTGACTTACAGACTTCTTTGGGTGACTGATTTCTATTTTGCTGTTTTAATTAAAATCATTAATTATTCATAATTTCATAGACTAATATCTATTATAATTTGTCTTATAACTTGTGAATTACTAGAGCAGATGCACTTAAACCGTGAAATAAAATCAAACTAAATACTAACTAATAATATCTATTTAGTGACTAATAGTTGCTATTACTCTACCAGAACATTTATTAAACAAAAGACACAAATGGTCTCTTGTGTATTTGTCTTTGTGCARTGAATGTTCTGGTTGAGTGATAGCAACTATTAGTCACTAAATAGATACTATTAGTTAGTATTTAGTTTGATTTTATTTCACGGTTTAATTGCATCCTCTCTATAAATATGACCTAACTAATATCAAAACATTATGTGATCAAGTTTAACATGAATAGATTTAGTGTTTGCATATATGTAATCATCCATGCAATCCTGTCTCATGTCATCCATTCGATCAATCTATACTGATATTTTGCTATCATCGAATATCTATTTTCTGCTAATTGAATATACACTGTCTTTAGGTATGGTATATCTAAAGCCAACATCAAGCATTAACTTGCTATTCTTTTCCTTTTTACTTATTAAAAAAATCTAAAACGAGTTAAAATTGTTTTCTAGTTTCCTTTYGAGCTTAAGTATCTGAGACAAGACGTCTATATAAATCATACTGAGAGTCGTAATGTGATTATAAATTTTACAATAATCTCAGTCTTTTATTTGCTGGATTATTATGGCAACAAAGGAATGGTCATTTGATTTCTAAACATGACAGTTTACGATGTTTGAAAGGTTTTGTAAACATATTGCTACAAGCACAGAATTTTAAGGAACAAGAAAACCTATAAGAGATCAGTGAAAGATTTTCACGATTGTATGAAATAGTTCATTAATTATTTCAAATGGTGATGCAAAAGAAAAGCAAAAATTGCAATAGAATGAAATTTTGATACATATTCAGTTTATCATTTTAGTTATATTTTCGAAAAAATCAAAGCCGATATTGGCTTTTGTACTATATCGCCGCCTTGCGATATTTTTATAGGCGTGTAACGTTGCATAGAAGTCCTGTAGTCGTCTTAGCGCTCGCCAGACTAGGAGGGTCATTATTTTTTGGAAATGTTAATTTACTGATATTTCAAATAGCGTGACATTTGACATGTAAGTCTCTCGTGCAGTATGCGTGACACTCATGAGTTTTATTGTCATTTAAAAAGTTTAAGTGAACAACTCTTGCGTGACGTAAAGTCTATAAAATTCTGTGAATCGCTGTGAACCAGCTTCAGAAAAGCTTAAGTGACAATCATTGCACATATGAACTTGTCGCGATCGAACTAAAGATTTCAACAATCTGCAGAAAAGGAAAAATTATTTTCCCAAGAAGAAATTCTAAGTGGAATAGGTTGGGACGATGATTTAACGTCATGGCTCTTTTTGAGCAAATGTATACTTTCTTTAGAAACAGAGTTGATCATAATTCAATGTTCCATCATGCTTGGATTGTGCTACTCTTGTTGTTCGGAAATATAAATGTAGATGCAAGTCTTCAGACTTGTCCAAGTGAACCTACATCAACTATATCGTCTCCCTGTAAGTTCATACCTGGCGTACACTCTTACCAATCGTTGATAATCGCCAGTGATGTGTTCTTTGAGACAACGTTGGCATCAAGTCGCCACACTCTAAAAATTACACGAACTTTAGAAATTCAGCCAACCGGGACCTTGAGTGTTGGTTTGAACGAAGAGACTTCTAATGAAGGTAGTGGCGTAGACCATAGTACAGGTGGAACAGGTGGGAGTTTTGGTGGTCGTGGAGGAGCAGCATCCGGGATGAATTTAGCATCCTCACAGGCTGTACCTTATGGACATCCGTTTAATGTATCTACACCTGGAAGCCAAGGTGGTGGTTCTGGCCATGGTAAAGGAGGAGGCTTTCTGCAACTAGAAGCTCGTAAAATCATCATCAATGGTGTAGTCAGTGCTCCTGGACGAGGTGCTACTGGGAATGGGGGTGGAGGGAGCGGAGGAGGAATAGCTGTGTTTTGCTTTGAAATTGAAGGAACTGGGAAGATTGAGGCAAATGGAGGGAGTGGTAGTGGTACAGGGGGTGGTGGAAGCGGTGGAAGGATGTCTATTACCTACAGACAGGGAACATTTCGACTAAAAACACATACCTATGGAGGTAAAATTGGTAAGAATTATAATACGTCGTTTGTTTGACCTAATAATAACGAATAACTAACACTATAACTAATCGGAATGCAGCTATATACAACCGGCTTTTTATTTTCTTGCTATAACGAATTTGGCAGAAATTCCACTAAAATCATTTAACTTCTTTAGTTAAAGGAGAATAAATTTGTACAATTCAAAAAAAATTTCATTTGCTATTGCTGCAAATACAAATCTTAACATACAAGATTTACGTTTACATTTCATATTAATTTCTTAGCTGCAAATCCGAGCCAGTGTAAGTGACCTCAGCTTTTAGCCAAAAGTCATTATAATAGTTGAATAATGGTGATGCTGCATTAAATCCGTTTTGCTTCATAATGCCTAGATTTAGTAAGATGATGAAACTTCATTCCTGGATATTTTGCTATGGACTTCGTCTATGGCCTTTGAATTGTTGACGCTCTGCCTGTGGATTATTGAATATTTATTGACACGGCATATTGTATTCAGAACTTAAGCAGTTCTTATCGTCTCAACAATAACATTTCTCATTCTATCATTCATTATCCAAATATATTTAGTTCAGTAGATGCCGTCTTTATTTTTGAATTACAGTCCATTTGTCAACATTTGTCATAAGGGATTTGTCTCAACTTGCTAAACTCGGGCGTTTTAAAAGAACAAAAAAAAAAAAAAAAAAAAAAAAAAAAAAAAAA